AAAGAGCTGATTTCAATAAACTCAGAGAGAACTTGGGAAAGATTTCATGGATGAAAATCCTAAAGGGGAAAACAACTCAAGAATCTTGGGAAACTCTAAAAAGTATGACCATAGAAGCCCAGACCAGCACAATACCACTGAGAAAGAAAAACAAGAAATCCAAGAAGAAATCAGCATGGCTGCACAAAGATCTCTCTGGCAAATTGAAAGAAAAAAAGGACAAGTACAAAAAATGGAAAGAAGGACATACAACTAAGGCAAAATATCGGCAGATAGCCAGAATCTGCAACAACGAAGTCAGGATAGCAAAGGCTCAGAATGAACAAAGACTTGAAACAAAAGTCAAAGATAATAAAAGAAAAGTTTCTTCCAACATATAAATAACAAGAAAAAAATCAAGGAAACAGTCGGTCCACTAAAGAGAGAAGATGGCAAGGAAGCAACAGGCAACAGAGAGAAAGCAGAACTGCTTAACTCATTCTTTGCATCCGTCTTCATGCAAAAAGAAACTATAGCTCAACCCACCAAAAATATAACTGTAAAAGACAGACCAGAAATAAAAGTAAAAATAAGTAAAAAAATAGGTAGAGAACATCTGTCTGATCTTGATGAAAACAAATCACCAGGGCCTGATGGATTACATCCCAGAGTTTTAAAGGAGCTGGCAGAGGTCATCTCAGAACCACTGCACCGTATCTTTCAAAGATCCTGGAGCACCGGGGAACTACCAGAGGACTGGAAAAGAGCTGATGTGGTTTCCATCTTCAAAAAAGGAAGAAAAAAAACAGACCCAGGAAACTATAGACCAATCAGCCTAACATCAATACCCGGGAAGATACTGGAAAAGATAATAAAAAAACAGATCTGCCAACATCTAGAAACAAGTAAAGTAATAACTAGCAGTCAGCACGGGTTTGTTAAGAACAGATCATGCCAAACCAATCTTATTTCATTCTTCAACACAGTGACTAAATTAGTAGACCAGCAAAATACTGTGGACATAATATATTTAGATTTCAGCAAGGCATTTGACAAAGTAGACCACAACCTACTTCTTAGTAAGCTAGAAAAAAGTGGAATAGATAGCACCACCACTAGATGGACTTGCAACTGGCTGGCAAACCATACTCAACGAGTAGTTCTTAATGGGTCTAAGTCCACATGGAGGGAAGTAAGCAGTGGGGTGCCACAAGGTTCCGTCTTAGGCCCAGTACTTTTCAATATCTTCATTAACAACTTAGATGAGGGAATAGAAGGGGAACTTACCAATTTTTCAGATGATACTAAGCTGGTAGGAATAGCTAACACCCTAGAAGATAGGCTTAAGATCCAGATGGATCTTGACAGACTAGAACACTGGGCCGTATCTAACAAAATGAAATTCAATGTAGAGAAAAGTAAAGTCCTACATTAGGCAAGAGAAACCAAAAGTACACATATAGACTGGGTGAAACCAGGCTCAATAGTAGTAACTGTGAGAGGGATCTTGGAGTCTTAGTGGACAACCAGCTAAATATGAGCCAGCAGTGTGCAGCAGCAGCCAAAAAAGCTAATGCAATCCTAAGTTCTATTAACAGAGGGATACAATCAAGATCAAGGGAGGTACTAATACCACTCTATAAAGTCTTAGTAAGACCACACCTAGAGTACTGCATCCAGTTTTGTTCACCACATTATAAAAAAAACGTTGAGTCTCTAGAAAAAATACAGAGAAGAGCAACCAGGATGATTAGGGGACTGGAGGCTAAAATATACAATGAACGGTTGCAGGAACTGGGCTTGGCTAGTCTAGTAAAGAGAATGACCAGGGGAGACATGATAGCGGTCTTCCAATATTTGAGGGGCTGCCACAGGGAGGAAGGGGTCAAGCTATTTTCTAAAGCACCTGTAGGCCAGACAAGGAATAATGGATGGAAACTGAACAAGGGGAGATTTAACCTGGAAATAAGGAGAAACTTTCTGACAGTGAGAACAATCAACCAATGGAGCACCTTGCCCTCAGAAGTTGTGGGAGCTTCATCACTTGAGACTTTCAAGAAGAGATTGGACTGCCATTTGTCAGAAATGGTGTAGGGTCTCCCGCTTGGGCAGGGGGGTTGGACTAGATGACCAACAAGGTCCCTTCCAACTCTGATTATCTGTATCTGTATCAAATTCTGTATCTGTATCAAATCTGTAAACGGCAAAACCACCTCAGCAAATGATGAGATAAACTGCCTGTAAAAATTGGTGAAGCCAAGGAAACTCTGAAGCTGTCTCCATGTGGTTGGATCTTGCCACTCCAAAACAGCCTGACCTTTTTGTGGATCTATCTCTACCCCGTTGCCTGATATATGATAACCGAAATAGTTCAGATAGGTTTAATGGAATTCGCATTTTGAAATTTTAATGTATAGTTTGGATGCCAATAACTTCTGTAACACCTTTCGGACTAATCAGATATGCTCTTCCATAATGGTGTTGTATATTAATAATTCTCCCAGGTGGACCAGGACTCCACAGTAGAGATGTTCACATAAAACCTCATTAATTAATTGCATAAAGACAGCTGTTGCTCCTTGCAACCCAAATGGCATCACCCGGAATTGATAACTGCATAGGGGACAATTAAAGGTGGTGTCCAACTCGTCCCCTGGCTTGATCCAAACCCAGTAGTACGCCTCTCACAAATCCAACTTAGTGAAAATACGACCTTTCACCAATGTTGCCAACACATCCTTCATTAGAGGCAATGGATACAGATTTTCTATGCAAACTGCATTCAGCCATGAAAACCTACACACAAGCATAAGCCAGATCCTCTGCACTGTTGTTCCCGCTGTCATATTCCACAGTGGCAGGTAGGATAGCACTCCAGAGGGTTAATGTAATTGCCCAGAAGATCATTGGTTGCTCTCTCCCCTCTTTGGAAGAACTTTATAGCTGCCTTAAGAAAGTTCAAAACATTCTCAAAGATTCATCTTATCCTGGGCACTCTTTTTTTTTTAACTATTACCATCTGGCAGATGGTACAGGATAATAAAAACAGGACAAATAGGCTAAAAAACAGCTTCTATCCCAGGGCAGTAACTCTGTTGAATTCTATTGTATAGTGCAATATTAATGCAATATCAGGGGTTTTCAATTCAATGTATAGAATGTGAAGGATGTGTGTACATAATGTACACTGAAGATGGTATTTAATCTCATTGTACGAGGAGCAATGACAATAAACTAAACTAAACAAATTATTACTTTTGTCATGAACTGCTACATCAGGAGACTGATATACAGTATGTCTTGCTTTCGTATCCATGGATTTGTTAATAGAGGAAGGAAGAAATTGGCATTGCGGTTCAAATATTCTAAAGCACATATTGTTTTACTCCAGGGACAAGCAGTGAGTAAACCTCCATCATATTTCCCTAGTGGCAGGTACTGTTAACAAATTGATCACATTTGAACTAGATCTAAAGAAATACAAATCTTGGTCCTTTTCAGAATGACTACAGATTATATGTACACACATATCTGGTCATAATGAAACTGCCTTCTTTTCCGTTAGATTTCTTTTTCCTCTCTCTTTCCCTCTCCCTCTCCCTTCCTCTCTCTCTTCCTCCCTCCCTCCCTCCTTCTCTCTCTCTCCCTCCAGTGGTGAGATTCAATATTTTTACTACCGGTTCTGTGGGCGTGGCTTGGTGGGCATGCCGTGACTTGGTGGGCATGGCAGGGGAAGGATACTGTCAAATCTCCATTCCCACCCCACTCCTGGGGGAAAGTTATTGCAAAATCCTTTTTCCTCCCCAACCCACTAACCTGCTTTCCAGCTCCATTCTCCTTCTCCTGTGCAGGGCAACAAAAGAAGACCCAGTCAATCAGCTGGGACTCGGGGCAAAGAATAGATGGGGGTGGGCCAGAGTCAGAGGTAGTATTTGCCGTTTCTCCAAAGTGCGCAAAATGTCTGCTGCCAGTTCTCCAGAACTAGTCACAACCTGCTGAATACCACCTCTGTCTCCCTCCCTCCCTCTCTCTCCCTCTCTCCCCCCACTCTCTCTCACATACACGCAAACATGGACATTGTTCAATGGCCATTCAATCTAATTTAATCTATACTAGTGTCATCATGCTTTACAGATACACTGGAACTCTAAGAATTCCTAGATTCCATTCATCATCTGGGAATTCTGGGAGATTTAGTCTCATAATCTGCAAACATCAGGCTGGAGGAAATCCCTTCACCACAGATACAGAACAGTAAACATGAAATAGACAAACTCTTTCTATCTCTGAATAGGCCATCATACTTACTGTGTAATTAAGAAAAGATCAGAAGATCTCATACCAATTTTATCATTAAGATGAGTTTTTATTAATTTAGGCATGTTGATTTCACCTCTGATCTTTGCATCTTTGCACCTAATTCCATGCAAAATATTATGATTTTTTTTACTAAAAACAAAAAAGCCTACCATATATATTTTTAAAACCTGTAAATTCCATTTCTGTAGTGTGTGAAGGAATGCCTATTTTTCTATTTACTTCAAAGGAGGAGGGTTAGCTAGCTGTTTTACCATTACTCTTTAAAGTCCTACACAAATTTATAAGATAAGATATACAATCATACTTATTGCTTTTCCTATACAAATAGCATTTGCATACTCAGGATACAGTTCTTCCATTTTGTCTCATATAATTACATGTAAAGATATTGGAATGTTAACATTCATTCCTGTCTATATCATTTTATACAACTTCAATTATTATCATAATTAATTGCCTAAAACCTATAATGTTGTCTATATAAGAATCAAAATGTATTCAGCTTGAAAATTAGGAGGACTACAGAAAAGCAAACCACAAAATAAAAATAAAATATTTTTATCTTTCACCCTACTTACTTTCAACCAAACAGAGCCTTACTGAAAATATTCAAAAATGCAAATTGTTTTGAAAGTATTGCTACTATGGTACAGTTATTTTAGTAATCCTAAGGTTTTGAAATTTCTTTTTTTCCCCCTCAGACTTTTAAGAGATCAGTCCCTGGAATGGTACTACAATAATGTGAAAAGTCGCTTCAAGTGTTTTGGAAGTGCTAAAGTTCTGAAAAATTTATATAGAAAACATCACCTGGAAACTGGAACTTGCTGTGACATACTAGGTAGAGAGAAAAATAATTTGTCTATCATGAATACTCATACAAATGTGGGGCAAAATTTTTACCTATGGTGCAGTGATCTAAGTATTATTATTGTATGTCAGGAAAAAGAGAGATCCAAGCATTGTATATGAAAGGATTGGCATTTTGTGTCATCATGCAAATAATATTGCCCTGGAAGTGCAAGATACAGGTAGAAATAACAATAGCATTAGGCTTATATACTGCTTCACTGCTTTATATAGTGCTTTACATCCCTCACTAAGGGGTTACAGAGTCAGCATATTGCCCCAACAATCTGGGTCCTCATTTTACTGGCCTCAGAAGGATGGAAGGCTGAATCAACCTTGAGCCTGGTGAGATTTGAGCTGCCAAATTGCAGGTACCCTGCAGTCAGCAGAAGTAGTCTGCAGTACTGCATTCTAATCACTGCTCTACCTCAGCTTTCCTCAACTTACATCTACAATTAAGCCCAAAATTTATGTTGCTAAGTGAGGCATTTGTTAAGTGTTTCCCCCCATTTTATGACTTTTCTTGCACAGTTATTAAGTGAAACATTACAGTTGTTAAGTTAGTAACATGTTGAATCTGGGTTCCCCATTGACTTTGCTTGTCAGAAGATTGCAAATGGTAATCACATGACCCCTGGACACTGCAATCATCATAAATATGAGTAATTGCCAAGTACTTGAATTTTGATCATGTGACCATGGGAATGTTGCAATGGTCATAAGTGCGAAAAACAGTCATAAATAACTGTTTTCAATGTGATTGTACTATTGTAATTTGAGGACTACCTGGAAAATAAATGCAGAAACTGATATTCAGTTCTTGGAGGTGCTTTGTTATTAAACATCAAGTAATACTGTATAATTCTAATTTTAAAATATTTTAGTTAGGGTACAGATTAGAATTTTATGATTATAGTAATACATATATTAATGTATATTAATACACATATTAACACATAAAATACATATACTATACACATATTCACAGACATAAATTGGTGGCTATACATAATAGAACATATATTCTTAATTACAAACGTCTTAGAATTTCTCACATGTAATATTCTATTTTTATTGAGCTGTTACACATTTATAGAAATCAAATGTGCAATAATTTGTATTGGCAGACTTCACAAATGGTTGCAATTAAGCCAATGTCTGCCACAATGTCTTGGGTAAAGAATTGTGAGTCAAATAAAGTCTCATTGGCCATTTTAAAATACATGGGAGAAGGAAGAATAAACAAGATTGCATTTTGGTTGCAAAGTGTATTTCCCTTTTTCATCAAATATGTTGGAGACATTTAGTAATTCAGTTTATGTGCCCATGAAGCATGACCTTTTTGTCCTTTCAAACAAGGCTTCATTTACTTTTCTGATTTGTGTGCGAGAGCTTCTCTTACACAAATTTACATAAACAACTGCTTTCATTTTATCACCAACTGTAATCTGTTTCTTTTTTTGTTCTTCCCAGAGCAAGACAATAATAGTATTGTCTACACCTTCCATTCAAGTGGAAGAAGAGTGATTAAACATCTCTCTGTACATTGAAATGATGACCTTTAAAATTTATTATGTACAAACTTTAAAAAAATTATTATGTCAAGCATTTTTGTGCAATCTTTCTTAACTTCATGTTCTATCTTTACATCAGTCAACAATATTTAAATCATTGATGGACTACTATATATATATATATATATAGCTACAATATATTTCTGAAGAAATTATAGGGATTTAGACCTTTTCTTGAAGGTGGATTTAATGCTGTCCCTTTAGGTGATATTGGAATTATAGCAGGCATTTCTAAACAAATGTTTTCTGTATGCATTAGCATTCACTTTCCAGAATTGCCAGGCAATCATATTGGCTGGGAATTGTAGGAGCTGAAATGCAACATATGTGGAATGGTGGGCTGGTAGTTACCGGCCAGTTCTAAAGCGAACCCTTCTATTTAGATGTTATATAATGATAATATTGGAAAGGTTTTTTTTTCTTTTCCAGAAGCAGGACATTTTTATGAAGGAACCACAGTAAATGAAGAAAGCAAATGTAACACTGATTCTGTGTTACAGACAGAGGGTAATGATGTTTAAATTTTACTGTTATTTTTAACTATAAATAAAATATTTGAATTGCAGTGAAATAACTTGGGATAAATATATGTCATTATGGCAATAACTTAAAACATGTTTATATACTTGCACATATTTTTCTTTTCACCATATCTCACTTTTTCCCTATGAAAACAATAAGTTTTGTATGCTGAATAAGAATAGATGTCAATGCTGAACTGAACCTGCTAGAGGCCATTTTCCTGGTTCATCATTGCCACACTGTACGGGAGGGGGGAATGCATTGTTAGGCACGATATTGAACTTTCTCATGAGAACCAAGGTCATCTCTCGATGATGGAGGGAGAAGGAGAAGTGTGCCTGAGGAGCTCCGCCAATTTGTTTGATTGACCAGTAATACTGGGGAGAAGGGATGATTACTGATTTTAATTATGCTGAAATCGTGGGAAAGATTGAGAGTTAGTTAACCAAGTGTGCCGATTTGATTTACCCAATAAAGAAATTCTTTGAGGGAACTCAAATAAAATGGAACTTTGAGAAAATGCCGGTCTCAGAGTCTATTGGTTTGGAGTTTGTTAGTTGGAATGCTGACACCCTGAAGTGTTGATGGTGGCTGCAACTCATTTATTCCCACCAGCCTTGGCTTGCCAAAGCCTAAGTCCAATCCCAATGGCCTGAGCAAAAAGCTGTTCTCCTGGGCCAGCAAGGCGGTGAGCCCAGCTCCTTGATGCAATCTCCCATGGCAGCGATGAGGGGCAAGCCTGAAGCAGAATCCTCCTCCCCGACAGCAATGGGCTGTGAGCCCTGGGGCCTAGCCAAAAGCCCACCTGGGTGGTTGGGTTATCCACCGTGGTCCTATTACCCAACACAGGGATAATTCCCTGGCCCATGGGCACCTCCTCCTCCACCACCTGTGGATCTGCAACAGATGAAAGCCACATTTGACAGGGATCCAGAGAAACTGGCATTCTTTCTCAACTAGGTGTGGGCCCATCTGAATTGTTATGCCCCAGGCTACCCATTGGATGTGGCAATGATGGTTAGAGTTAGGGTAAGAAGCCATGGAGTGAGTGACCAGACTTCACAATCAGGATGCACCAGAACTGGGGAACATCAATGTTTTCCTTGAGGAACTGAGGGCCAGATTCAAAGATGAATCCCAAGCCCTACAGAGTGAAGCAGAGATTCGAGAAGTGAAGCAAAGAGGCCGACCGGCAAAGGAGTATGTCTGAGAGTTCCGCAGAATGTCTGGAAAATTGTTATTAGCCAGAACAATTGCTGGCCTACCACTTCAAAGAGGGGCTCAACCAGGAACTACTCCGGGCCTGTATCTACCAATGAGTCCCCGAGCAGACCCAGGACTGGTACCAGATGGTGATCACGCTGGATCTTGAGCTGAAACAGTATAAAAGGAAGGGCGCATCCTAGGCAAAACCAAAACAGAGCCAGGAGAGGTGCCAGTTCAGATGATGGATGACTATACCCATGGCCATGGGATCACTTCCTGCCATGTCCCGAACTCCCATCAGTTGTGGCTAGCAGGGCCATTGGGCAGCCAAATGCTAGCACCCACACCAAAGAGTAATCTGGCAACCACAACAAGCCAAAGAAACTGCAGAGAAGGGGCCAAGGAAAACTAAATCTGACACACCTAAGCCATAGAAGTCTCATCTCCCTCAAGTGAGGAAAAGGGAACTCCGGCTAAGAAAAGCCAATAACTTGCAACTTATGACAGCGAGAACAAAGGTAAACGTGACCTGATGGTAAGTGAGGCCATCAACGCTTTCACCATCCCTGCAAAAATTGTGGTGCCCAAATCAGGAGCATAGGGAGAGATGGATGCCCTGATAGATTCAGACTGCACCCATTGCCTAATCAGCCTGCTGATGGTGCTAAGACTGGGAATCCATGGAAATTGCCCCAGGCAATGAGATTTGAACAGGTTGATGGGTCACCGATAGGGGGAATCCCCCACAATGTACCCAACTGAGCCAGTGCAGCTAGAGATAAGCCAACACTGGGAAATCATCTGCTTTATAATAGTCCCAAAGATGAGAGAGACAGTGATCCTAGGGCTTTCCTGGCTGGACAAATGGGGTCCAATAATCTGGTGGGAAGGGGGATGGAGGAAGATGAAGCTAGGAAGCAATCCCAGGGGAGGGACCACCCGACAAGCCCTTATCCAAAAGAACAACGAGAGGCTAAAGGTGATGTCAGAAAGCCCACTGGGCACTCAGCCAATCTCCAGGGAATACCGGGACCTGGCAGCTGTGTTCAGTGAAAAGGAACGTGACATGCTTGCCCACCCCCACCCCTCCACCGCTCCACTGTCTGTGCAATCAAGATCTTACCAGGATGAAAGCTCCCTAACCCAAGGGAGATGAAAGAACTAGGAGAGTACATAGACAAGAACCTAGCCAGGGGCTTCACCCAACCTGCCAAGTCTTGCATAGTGACCCCAGTACTGTTTAAAGAAAAGAAAGATGGACCCATGATATTATGCATAGATTTTAGGGGAATTAATGTCGTATACATAGAAAACATGTATCCACTCCCCCAATGAAAGACATGCTGGCTCACCTGGTGAAAGGGAAAATCTTCACCAAATTAGACCTAACGGAAGCATACTACCGAGTATGTATCAAAGAGGGGGGTGAATGGAAGACCACCTTCAACTGCCCTCTAGGGAACTTCCAATTTAAAATGATGCCATTTAGACGTCAACTAATCAGTTGAAGGTGCTACATGATCACTTGTAAAAGAGGATCCTAGTGTACTTAGATGACATTCTAATTTTCACCAAGACAATGGAAGAGCATGTCAAGTTAGTCCGCCAGGTACTCAAAAAACTAGTGACAAACCTACATTGAACTATCAAATGTGAATTCCACAAAACCTGCCTAGACCTAGGGTACTGAATATTGAGTGAGGGGATAAAGATAGATCCAGGGAAAGTGAAGGCCATCTTGGAATAGCAACCACCTCAAACCTGCAAGCAGCTGCAGAACTTCTTAAGCTTCGCAATTTTTTTACCAGCAATTCGTCTCCTAATTCACCAAGATAGCCCTGCCAATCACTGAAACCAGGAAGGGGGGCCCCAAGCCAAGATCTGGTCAGCCTCTAGAATGGACTATGGATGCCAGAGAGTATCCAAAATGCTCAAATGGCGGTTTTCAGAGGAACAAGTCCTTAAGCACCCAAAATCCGAGGAACCATTTATCATCCAAGCAGATGCCAGTGATGTAGCACTGTGGGGCAGTGCTCCTCCAGAAAATCAAGATGAAAGTCTGCAATCTTGTGCCTATACCTCCAAGAAACTCACTGACCCTGAAAGGGGAAGGGCAGTGTGGGAAAAGGAGGCATTCTTCATCTGATGGGCCTTAATAACCTGGTGCCATTTTTTAAAGGGGAGTAAAAGTGCTGTTTGAGGTCTGGACTGATCACAAAAATCTGGAGGTACTTAGAACCTCTCGGAAACTTTCACCCAAACAAAACTGATGGGCACAGTACTTTAACTGCTTTGATTTCCCTGGGGGAAAGAATTTCCTAGTAGATGCCCTGTCCCAGATGCCGCAGTACAAGAGCAACAGGGAAGAAGTGATCAACACTGTTGAGGTAATTCCCCATTAGGAGAATGAGTGCACACAGGGAAACATAATGAGAGTGATGTTGAATAACACATGACCAGCACACAGATACACTGAATAGTAAAATGTAGGTTTTACTTCCAGTAAACGGTTAAGCAAAGTCCAACAAGCAGCCCAAGTCATACACGGTTAAAGCAGTCAGTATTCAGTCCAGGGATAATCCAAATAACAAAGTCCAGTATCATACACAGTTCAGGAACAGACTTACAGCAACCCAAGAAGAACGACGATTAGCAACAGTCAATAGGGAAAAATGCAGGAACCAAAAACAGCGAACAACAGAACATCGACCAACTAGCAGCTAACAACAACAGAACTAACAACCCAGGTTTGTGGCTCCATCTTATGGCTGTTTGAGGAACCACACCCAATTGCCATTTTAGCATTCCCTTAAAGAGACAGTATTAAATGTCTATCCTGGTTTTTATATTTCCAACCCAACTGTTAGGTGACTATCAATTCCTAACAAACATCATCATCCCCATCACACAAAAGACAGTACAAGCCACTACAAGACAACAAACCCAGAAAGCATCAGAACAGCCCTGGGGAGAGTTCACCCAGAAATCTAAAGTTGAGTTAAAATCTGACCCCTGATTAAAGGACAACTGCCAACTCCTAACTCTCAGAGATGAACTGGCATGGAAGAGGTATAAGTTGTACATCCCTAGCACCCTCCAGATTCAAGTGCTACAAAAAAATGCTAAATAAGCTGGCCACTTTGGATTCCTAAAATATGGCACCTGACCAGGAACTAATTCTTGTGGCAGGGGATGAAAAAAGACATTGAGAGCTACATAAAAGGCTGTGCCATATGTGCAGCCATGAAAAAGAGGCCCAGGAAGCGCCCTGGATTGCTGCAGCAAGTGGCCAAGCCATTACAACCCTGGGAAGAGATCACAATGGACTTTATAGTAGAACTCCTGGAGCGTGGGGAAAACACTTTAATTTGGACTGTAATTGACCTTTTTTCCTGCTCTGATCTCCCATCAGCCAGTTCTCCCATCAGTCCAGTTCATGGCAAAATATTGGAGGGAGTTTGTATGATTGATTGGGTCCTCCCAAGGACTTAGCTCAGCTTTTTATCCGAGTACAAATGGGGTGACAGGACGTACAAACGCAATGATAAAACAGTATTTGAGGTGTTATGTTAACTACCAGTAAACTAATTGGGCAGACCTGTTGCCATTTGTTGAAGTGGCATATAATAATGCAGTCTGCAGCAGCACAGGACTAAGGTAGCCATGAGAGTAGAATTCATTCCCATGCCAGAGCTTTCCTGAGAACCTCCCCCCTCAGTCAGCTTAACAGAGCAGATGGGCTCACTACAAAACACTTGGATAAATGTGAAGAAGGCATTAGTCAAAGCCGCAGAAACACAAAAGGTAGAGGCAAATAAGAAACATTCTCCCCAAAAGACCGTTTCACATAGAAGAGAAAGTCTACCTCTCCACCAAGTACTTAAAATTGAAATTGCCATGTAGAATGAATGACTTATGTTACAAGTGCTATTTATAGCACTTAATCTTTTTTGAATGAACATTGAAAACATCTTTGATGGATGAAATTTGCTTTACTGAGCTTCTGGTATAATTGTTTTTAGTGCCAATGTATTCACACACACTGTTTTGTAATCTAGTTAGCCATCTAATTATAACTAAAAGGGTTTCTACATTTATTTATGTTAAAAATAAAGATATTTTCTTTGGGCACAAACTGTCATGGTTGACTCTACACAGCCCCACTTGCAATCAGACAACTGTAATAGAAGAGGGGAGAGAAGACATTGGAATATAAGGGAGGAAAATTTGGGGTGCAAGTGTGCTGACTGGAAGCCTGAGACAGACCTAACACCTCTAGATCATTCAGCTGAGAAAGTCCAAGGCAAACAGATTGCTCCCAAAATAAAGAGTGCCAATGACTGGGGGACAATAAATAATGGGAGATCCAGAGGGAAAGGGGAGAGTTTTCCTATGCTTTTTTTGAGTGAATCATTAGAACTGGCTTTTCTACTTATGTAACCACATGGAATCTTCAGTAAAGTTATATTCTTGTCCCAGGAGTTTCCCTTACTGCCTAACCTAGTAGGACAGTTGCCTTGACTGGACAGAAGAAATATTGTATAATACTAAAAGGAAAAAAATATCTGGTTTGCAGCAATGAATTATTGATGGGAGGATCCCTTTTTGGGGGAAAGCAGTTTCATTTCTATCTCAATTATCTTTTTCTTTGTATAAATGTCATGAGTATTTTTACCTTCCTTGCCTAGGACATAGCATGTTAAGCACTATTGCTGTAGCCTTGCATGTTGCAGAAGAAGTAATAGAAGAAGCTATTTCCAAGGCAGAGACATATAGTGACAGCTTGGTAAGAAAAATATTTTTTCCATTTAATAAAAAAAGTATTCCTTCTAGTCATGTGTATTACTTGCTCATAAAGAAAAGGCAGTAAATTTACAGGACAATATTATTACAGTTTATTCCAGTGATGGCGAACCTTTTTGGGCTTCTGTGCCAAAAATTTTGTGTGCGCCTGCACGTGCATGCTCACATGCCAGCACCTAGAAGGCAATGCGCGCACCCCCCACTCCCTGCAAAATACAGGAAGTGACAAAACGAGCCTACTATCCATCCTGCAAAGCCTGCAGACACCTTCCTCAAGCCTTTGGGAAGCCGAAAAAGGCCTCAAACCAGCCGAAAATCAGCTGTGAGACACACGCATGCGCAGTGAGGTAAATTTGCCTGCGGCCCATGTGCCAACACAAATGGCTCTGCGTGCCACATGTGGCACGCATGCCATAGGTTCGCCATCATGGGTTTATTCTATTCCATTATTTTATTCTATTCCTTTTCATTTTAAATTATTTTATATTTTATCATATTAATTATTCATTCATATACCATTTCCCTCCTCTTTATTATCACAGCAACAATAATTATTTTTTTACATTCTTTCTCCAAACTATCCATAAGTAAAAACAGGCAATATATTATCTATTCTACAAGAAACATAGAAAAATCAAGAGTAAAATTTATTTTTAAAAATAATTTGGTATTCCTGAAATATTTGGTTGAACAGATATGTGTTCAATTATCATTAAAAGAAGACATCAGGAAGACCAGCTGGAGTTTCCTTGGGAAAGAGATCAATAACTAGTGCATTATCACCAGCGATTCCTAGGTCTGAGCTCTGTGTTAATCATACCCACATGGAACCATAAGCAGAGTCTTCCCAAATGTATTCTCCTTATGATTATCTTGATCAACTTTTAGGTATGCATTTATACACAGGTGTGTACATGCATACCCTACAATATCTCCTGCCAATGTGTCCATAGATAGGTGGATAAATCCTGGAATGCTTCAGGCTTTCAATGGTGGGACTCAAATAATTTCACAACCGGTTCTTTGCCCTAACAACCAGCTGGGTAGGTGTGGCTAGGTGGTCATGTGACTGAGTGGGTGTGGCCAACTCAACACCACTCACATCGAGGGGCATTTCACCTCACCCAGCCTCTCATGACTATAGGGATGCTGCAATGGTTGTAAATATGAAAAATGGTCATAAATCACTTTTTTCAGAGCCATTGTAACTTGGAATGGTCATTAAATGAACTGTTGTAATTCAAGGATTACCTATACAAAAATACAAAAAAGTTTATTTGTTTGCAAAAAGCTGCTCTAAATACCAATAATTAGATTAGAAATGGGGGAATACACACTGAAAATCAATGATAGTTACAGCCATCATAGAAACCTAAAACTATTCTATCCAAATACTTTCCTTTTCATCAGCAATACTTGCAACCTGGACTTATAAATTAGGCAGGGTGCCAGAGCACCTTGAGGAATTTAAATAGTTAAAATGCAACAATAACTATCAGCAGCCAACTCTTGCTCATAAAGTGAAACCCTTTGGCAGAAAAGTCATTTAAGCTCTCCAGAAAGTGGGTGGGTACACTTGGGCTACAAAATGCCAAGCTAAAGAGACAACTTAACAAAGTATGTAGGGGACCCAGGTCAAGCCTCCCAAGTTTATCTGTATCACAGTAAAATTAGTACATGCTATAGATATCTAAATAAACTTCAAGCCTCTTGCCATGTTACTAAGCCTTATTATCATGAGAGAATACTAAAACGGTTTGGAGGATCCACACCCCTACCTCCTTTTTTCAAAATCTTACTATCAGTGAGCAATCATGTGCTTTGGCCACTCCAAAACAATGCAAGAGACTCCTGTCCCAAAGGTGCTTTTTCAAGCAGCAACTGGACTTTCTGGAAACCGAGGAAGTCCATTTGCCTCTTGAAAAAAGCACCTTTGAGATAACTATAACCTGGATGGCTGAAGAATCTCCATGGACAAGAGACTCCTGTGCTCAGTGAACTGACAAAGCATCTTTTCCCACCCAGGACAAGCAATCCTAAGATCCATTTGCACCACTTAAAGATACCAACTGGTCTCACTCACCACAAAAGATATCCTAAGGAAATCAGATTTAAGGAAAGATCACATGCCCCCAGAAAGGCAGTAAAAAAATCAGACAGACTGCCAAGCTTGCATCCTGCATCTTGAAAGTACGCCCCAAATGGACAGTGCAGGAACCACTAAAACAGTATAAAAAGCTTAAAACAACCCTTCCCCTTTAAGAAAGTCAAGCCCCTCTAGAGAAGCAGCTCAGGCGACAGACAAGTTTCTGCCTACAATCAAGAATGATTAGCTGTTACAATGTAACAAGGCTTAACTGGAGAGGCAGTTTCTGTAAACAGGGCAATAAAGATAAGGATTAGGCTGGAAACAACACAGAGGCACACCATAATGTTTCCTTCCTGACTTCCTGACAGGATTAGCCCTGTAAAGTGGGAAAAAAACAAAAGGCTGTTGGAAGGAGGTTTCTTCCAACAACTGGTTCTCCGAAGTGCTCAGAAAGTTAACAAACAATTCTCCCAAATAGGTACGAATTGGCTGAATCCCACCACTGTTTCAGGCTGACACACATATACACATACACTTACAAACACTGAACAAGTAAGCAAATCCCTTGTGTTTATGAGGGTAATGGATTTAATTTTATAAAATGGGATTTGTTTTATAGTGTTTGTTAAACCATTATGCACATTTTAAAATTTGAAATTTCTGAGTATTTATAATGAATGCTTACCTACATATCTTTTTAAGGACAAACTGTCTGAAGCTTGTTATTTGCAAGATCATAAAGAAGAATTGATACAAGAACTTGCTACCACCATTGTCCAGAAGGTATGACACAAGGGTTGCACTGTTTAGATGAATTTATCATTAAGAATAATAATGTATAAGCCTTTTTAATATTAATTTGCATTTGACATAATTTATTACAAACTGTAAGATCACACTATTTTAATCATATTTCCTAGTAGGGAACTACATAGTCTATTAATTTATGCAAGGATTTCTGGCTTTATAGATACTTTTGCTCTAATTAGTATTTTGCCTGTAAAACTGTTTTAAAACTGGCCAAAACTGTTTTTTGAGAATCCATAAACAATGAACACACTAATGACTAAGGAGAATTTATTGTTTAGCTATAACAAGTAAATTAAACAGAAACACAAAAAAGCAATGTACCAACAAGATGATCTCTCTTTAGCCGCCGGGAGCTTTATTTCAGGCAACAAAGATACTCAAAGACCTTTGGTACACAGCATTGAGTATTCCAGTCTTTGCAGAGGTCCATCTTAGTGAACAATTTGGCACAAAACTTTCACGGCCTTGCTTCCCTGATCAAAAGATTGCAAAACTTCACCTTGACTAGATAACTCTGGGATGGGAGTCAAAATTCTGACAAGGCAGTGTAGCTTGTTTGAAGAATACCCCACCCATCCCCTTTTTTAAAAAAATGAAAGAAATAAGCAGGTTCAGAATGAGCTATAAACTTCTAGACTTATCCTAATCGGAAGGAAGATCAAAATATATCACTAACACTTCAAAATATAATAACCTTCTGTAATGGCACAACATGAAGTGATGGACTTATGGTTTCATTTTAAATTATATTCTTGATTTGAAGCAGCATCTTCAAACAAGCTGTTTCCTCTATTATTGATATAGCTAACTATTCATAGTTGACAGTTAACTTGATCTGTCAGCTCAGCAAATCACATTTTTCGTTCTTGTTTCTATCAGAATTCAGTTTGACTGCTTGCTTTTTCTCCAGACATTGATTTAAAATCATTGATTTAAAACTGGAATATTTCCCTTTTTAACATATGATAAATTTTATTTTAAACAAATTTATATTATAACAAATGAAATATTGGACAAAATGTTTGTCATATTCTAAAATATGATATGGCATTTAGACCAGACAAGATATCCTTACTTAATGCTGGCCTATGATCATAATAAAGATTTGATTTGAAATGCCTTCACAAATACTAATATGTTTATGACTTATACAAAATGCTATCATATCTGTTTTAATGAATAGTATTTTACAATTGCTGGTTATCAGCAACCATTGGTGCTTTAGTTCTTTTCTGTTTATTTCATGTCAAATTTCACATACATGAGACTGATAACCCTTATATTATTGTACTTTATCATTTTAAACATTGTAATCACTACCCAATCCATTATAATGTACTTTTGTACATAGATTTAGGTAGTGGTGATCAAAAGCTTTAAAGAGCTAGAGCAAAAATTAAACTTTAAGATATATGGTTCACATCTTAATGATACAATTCTAAATTGCTAGTAATAGTTTATTATGAAATAGATATTTATTAGTCTACGTATAGTTTCATTTTCAACTTTCTATAGATTATGAGAAAGCTGACAGTCAAAACTAAGCAAGTAGAAGCTAGCTTTGAAAGGCCACAGTTCATGAGCAACAGAAGTGTGACATCTGCTATTCCTCCAATACAGAACAAGCTGACTTTTCAAAGGAGTCCTAGGAAGTCATATGCATTATGGGTAAGCTACTAAATTTGAAATTTCTCTTTCAAATGCTTTTTGCAGTTTTACTTCTTCTCAGAAATCTTTGCAGCTGTGTTGATTCTGTCTTCACAATCAGATAAGTACTAGGAAATACAGGTAGTCCTTGACTTACGACCACAATTGAGCCCAGAATTTATGCTTATTAAGTAGTATAAATATGTATTGTTAAATTTGTTTTGCCCTATTTTACAATTTTTCTTGCCACATTTGTTAAGTGAATCACTCCAGTTGTTAAATTAGTAACAGTTCAGTGAATCTGTCTTCCCCATTGACTTTGCTTGTCAGAAGATTGCAAAATGTGATCACATGACTCCAAGGACACTGCAAGCGTCATAATAATGAATCAGTTGTCAAGCATCTGAATGTACATCACATGACGACAGGGATGCTGCAATGGTCATAAGCGTGAAAAATGGTTATAAGTCACTTTTTCAATATCATTGTAATTTTGAATGGTCACTAAACAAACTGTTATAAGTCAAGGACTACCTATACAGGAAATCTATCAGGAATTTGCTGGACCTGAACATAAAGTTTTTAAAACAACATTCCAAATCCCCAATCTTTTTTTTATTTGCCTTCCTTAATGGACTGTGCAGAATGCTAGCTTTAATTTTTTATGTTTGTTTTATTCTGTTTGTTATCTGCCAAACCATCTTACTGTATTTTTTTCTCATGTTCTTAGTTTAATTTACTGTGCCATGTTTGGCCCAGGAATTATAGGTAGCATACAAATGAATAAGAATTATAATTTTGTTCTAATGCCATCTGCTGATTTAGTTTGCCATTGGCACCAACAATTTAAAGAAAAGAACACGAGGAAAAAGAATTTATGGATAAATAAAACTCTAGCTTTTTGTCTACTTTGGCAAATTTAAAAAAAAGTTTGCTGAAGATGTAAACAATCTATTCCTTTCCTTTAAAATAAGTTAAATATTTTATAATGCACTGCAACAAATACATCCTTCATTATCCTGGTAGTTTTCCTAAATACTTGTTCTAATTTGTCATCATCCTTTTGAACTGGGCAGAGTACTCCAGATTAGATTCGATTAATAAAGAGTATAATTAAATCATTATTTCCCATGATTGGAGATATATATTGATTCCATTTGATGATATAATCCATCATTTTCAAATTTTAATAGCAGATTTACAGAAAATAATTATAAGATGCTAGGTAAAGTATATTGCACTTACAAAAGTTTTCACAGTAATTTATACAGGTAGTTTCCAAGTTAAGTTAATACTTCAGGAACAAAAATATAACTATTATAAAAACTTAATTTATAGAAAAGGATCCGATTCAGTGACTTTGAATTTATAATAAACACTGGAAATTTTGATGAAATTGGCTCCAGGAAACATTGTTCATTGTTTCTTTGTAACAGTTCCAGTTTTATACAAAATCTACACTCTAGTACAGGTAGTCCTCGACTTACAACAGTTTATGTAGTGACCATTCAGAGTTACAAAGGCACAGAAAAAGTGACATGACTGTTTTTCAATTACAACCCTTGCAGCATCCCCATGATCATATGATCAAAAATCAGATGTTTGGCAACTGACTCATACTTATGACTGTTGCAGTGTAATCATGTGATTACTTTTTGCAACCTTTTGACAAACAAAATCAGTGTGGAAGCCAGATTCACAACAACTGTGGCAAGATATGTAGTAAAATGGGTAAAACTCACTTAATAACATAAATTTTAGGCTCAATTGTGGTTGTAAGTTGAGGACTATTTGTATTATAGTAATTTGAAAACTTGTGAAGGTGTCATTCTTCCAATGTGTCTTTGTGGGCCAGCGGTAGATATTCTTTGTGTGATTTATGTTGTAATATTTTCTTGGGCGATTCTGCTGTAATGTTTTAAGCTCTTTAAAAAAATTAATTATTAAAAAATGATTGGTGATGTTTTAAGTTTGTATTATAGATATTTTATAATTACACTATTGTGGCTATACATGAGATAATTCCATAGTAAATTATATTATATATATAATTAATAATTAATGCATTAATGTTGGAATGTTATTCTGTTAATTAGTATTCCCAATATTTATTTAATTCATTTAAAAAAATATAATTCTATCAGAAAGTATTTCAGAATTGCTTAACACAGAGGTGTCAAACTCAATTTCATTGAGGGACACATCAAGGTTGTGTTTGACCTTGGAGAGTGTGGGTGGTCATGGTCGGGGTGAGTGTGATCATTAAAGACATGTGGATTAAAGACATGTAACATCCTCAGCTGCTATGGGGCTTGACTCGTTTGTATAGGAGCAGATCTGAATGTATATATACATAATATTATCAGAACAGAGATGTTCAAAAGCTTAATGTGAGTTAAAACAACCTAAACAACATCCAAGGTATTATGTTTATACTTACTGGGTTGAATGATAAATTAACATTTAGAATCTTAAAATACTTTTAAACAAAACAATTCATTTCCCTTTAATTCATCCATATCTCCCTTTTAACAGACTGCCTTATTTATGGCATTTCTCCATCCCCAAACAACACAATTGTACACTCTTTGTTATTGCTTGGGCAATATCAACTCAGGTTTCCCTTTTCCCTGTTGAATCTGAAATATTCACTAACTCTATGTAGAATACTTTAGCTGACCCTCCCATTTTTCATTTTTAATAGAGTTCTTTGAAAACATTAACATTTTATTCCAGATATCCATTGTAAAGAGGAACACTGTACAACACAACAAAATCATCACAATATATTGCTAAATGTCTAAAAAGATTCCGAAAATATGCATGCTGTGTGACTACAACTGGATACACAATTAAATCTCACTGACTTTACTGAGTTTTATGCATACCTGACAAAAGCTACATTCTATCTGCCAGATTTGCACACTATCCAGTCATAATATGATTTGATTTTGATTCTGTGTGTTCTATAAATTCAGCCATTTGTGTTTTACACAGTAAATCACAATTTAGAAATAACCACTGGACCTTTTCACATGACATACTGCATTAAAAAAAATCTTACAGCTTGTGCATACTACCATATCCTAAATCCAATCATGTTGTGTGTTTTAAGTTTTTAAGCTCACTATATTGTTTACAAACCTAAAATAGGCTGAAAACGGGATGAAATGCCCCTTATTGGCCCCATACTGCTGTAGGAGGCTGTGTGGACCAAAAACGGGCCCCTGTGACCCATTTTTGTCTGCCAGACTGCGGTGGGGGCTGAAAACAGCCTGTTTGCGGGGCCCCGCAGCCCATTTTGGCCAGCAGATGTACTGCAGGCTGGCCCTTTGTTATTTCCAGGCCAATCCTATGGGCCAGATTTAAGCACCCCTGCGGGCCAGAGCCAGCCCCCAGGCCTTGAGTTTGACATCCCTGGCTTAACACATAATCAGTTTAAAAAAGGGCAGTCTCCCTTCCTAGCAATCATTTAAAGACATAACTTCAGCAGGGAAAAAGGATATATGAAAGGGGAAAGCAGTCACTGATTATGGTAATGGGCTAAGGATAAAACAGTCTATATCATTGGCTGATGGATATGCCCTGCTTTCCATTTTTTGTGCAACTTGAGAACATTGCTCCAGTCCAAGCTTGCTTTTCTTAAAGTTATACTTTTTTTTAAACAGAGATCCCAGTCTGCATTTTCACTGACTAATGAAGCTACAGCCCAAGACCCAATCCTCACATCATCAATGTTTGAATCTACCTTGAGAGAACCAAATGGCCAAATCAATAAACAAAAGCACAGGCTGTCTACATTTCCCAGTTGGAAGAGTGTGGACCAATTAAATGAACCAAATAAAGGCATGTAATATTTGTATGATATTTCTTGGCTCTGCAAAGAAGAAATAGCTATTTTTCATGTTCTTTTAGAATGGAGGAAAGAAGGAATCAGGCAGATCAATAATCTTCAGATTGAGAATAGTCACTGCTTTGTCATTTTATTTTTAAAATAGCTATTAAATTTTAAAAGTAATGGACAGCATTTCTGTAAATTATTCTAAGGATATACAGTACATTTGAAATATTCAGAACCTCTGAGTCATTAGAATAGGTCTTCTATTATTAATTCATTAACAATGAATAACTTTGTATTATTTGTAACCTGTCATGAAGTTTGCAAACAAAAAGGCCTGGTTCTGATGTAAAGCTGTGATCATTCTTTTCACCAAAATGTATTATTGTTACTAGAATTAAGCCTTGCATGACCCAAGACTAAACTGTTCACTTATTATTTCTGTGCTTTTTATCCCTGAAATCTTAGAACATAATTTTATGGTTCTGTTTTGTGAGAGATAAATGGACCTGGCAGTAGCGGTTAATACATGTGCAAACTTAACTTGTTAAGCTGTAACAATAAATGTTTATTTTAAACATTTCTCTTGGAAAAACATTTCAGAAGTTTGGCATGAACAATTGACTTCTGAGGCATTTTTCAATGCCTTTAAATTAAACAGATATTATTGAGGATAAATAGACTGTGGCTGTTTTATTAAATAAATATTACCAAAGCTGAAATCCCAACAGATTTTTTAAAATCACATTTAATGGTATTTAATTGTTTAAACTCTAGGGAAAAATGCTTTCAAAAAGCAATTGCGGTTACATGTATTTTATTTAAAATTAGATGCTGTTTAGAAAAGTATTTTGAATGCCAGGAATATACTAAATAGTTAGGAATTAGTGCTTTCACTGATTCAAAAATAAAATATCTCTTTGTAATTAAATGTGCATACAGGTAGGCCTTGACTTACAACCATAACTGAGCCCAGAATTACAGGTCAGAAAGCATGCCAGTTCTTAGTAGATCATCATATGACAAATCCAATTTTATGACATTTATAATATGTGGTAGTCATTAAGTGAATATGATGATCATAAGGCAAATGCCACAGTCATTAATTGAAAGCTGTGGTCATTAAGTGCACCCATTGTATACAATGGACATTTTTTGCCAGAAAATAAATGCCAGTTTCCAACATTGTAAATTGTAGTCACATGATCATGGAATGCTGCAAACAGCTCTAAATATAGCCTGGATTGCTCAGCAGGCAAAATGCAAATATGTGACCATGGGGATAGGCAGTTGTCAAATTTTGAATCTGAGTTGTTAATATCTTTTTGGGGGTGTATCATAACTTTAGTCATTAAGCGACCTGTCATAAATTGAGGCCTACCCATAGAAGCTTACTTAAGATTTTATATATAAACATTATAGCTTTAATTTTTAAGAATTTTAAATTTTTGCTTCTTTGCATTTAAGATCAAGTATAGCATCCTATTCGCTAAAAGTCTTATGTTGATTCAGTTATGCATAATATAAATCAATTGCAATAAATGGGACAGTTGGTCATAGATGACATTAATTTCAACTGATTTCTCTACATATGACTTAAATTTATATTCAAATCAGCCAGCTTCTTCTACGGTATTTGTAAAATCCCAAGCTATTAATTCTGGCAATGAAAGGACACTAGATGATATAATAATAAGTAGATCAATAGCAAGACTCTTGCTCAATACAACAAATGGAGTCCTTTACTAGAAATAATTGGTGGCTGTTAATCTGTCTGGATTAATAACAAACAGTAAGATGTTCCCATGCTTGCATTGAATTGCCATGTAGTGCCAAATTGTTAGACTTTATTATGGTCAGCAGTACTAGTTGCAAGGAAAATACAAACATATTTAGAAACATTTAGGTTTTCGGGAATTCTAAAATACACGTTGCAATCACTCTTGGGTTTTAAAGAAATTATTAACAATATTAATAAATAACAATGTATTTATCATGCTTTTCATCTGTGTAATATTATGTGTGGGTTGCAAAACAAAGTGTCCATTGTTTTGTAAACCTTTAAAATGTTTATTAAAACTCTGGCTCCGTTTCAAATTCATCAGATCAGTTGTGATTAATCATCTTTACAGTACTTTATCATAATATGTATGATACAATTTCATTTGAACTTTATTATTCTCTTGAAATTTATAAGATATAAAACAACCAAAATTTTACTTTTTGCAGTAATTGAAAAACATAGCATTTAGATCAGTAAAATTCAATAATAATGATACTGGAGTTTCTTTTTATATTTCCTTAGATTTTCCTCCTGTTTTACAAAGTACAGATGGAAATTGGGTAGCCTTGCAAAATGCCATTTTGCCTTGTCCACGAATGCTTGCCAAACCTAAGAGCCAAGTGTTCAAAGCTTTGGAGGAAGAATCCACTGTTGTTTCTGCTTATGATGAGATGGGCTCAGATAGCGAAGATAATGGTGACTGGAATGTGACTTTGAACAAACTACAGCAGAGACCTCAGGAGCTTTCAAATTATATTGAAGCTCAGCACAATGCTGAATGGAGTTATGACAATGAATTATACCAGTCTATGACTTCTCTATCACCTAAGGGGTTTACCATTGAGACAGAATACTCTGATTCAGAAATATCACCTGTTGATTCTTCAAGGGAGACTATAGTATCTAGCCTCTTAGGAATACATAAAGAAATTTGTAACAATAAATACAGAGAAGAAAAAACAGAGTTGAACGAAGAATTTGATGTTAATTTTAATCCACAGGCTATCAGTTTAAACTGTTCAGATAGTAGTGAAAATGAAGAAACCTATCATTACTTTGAAAAGTCATCAAAAAGATGGGAAGAAAGCAATGTTCTCTGTGAAGATTCATGCAAAAGCAAAAATTACACAAAACCACCTAACAACATGGGTACATATCAGGTAATGAAAGTTTGGTGATTCCAGAGGGGCAAGTGGTAAAATCTTTGCTATATTACATCGACAACAGTAACCTAAGTACAGCCAGTCATGGAAAGCTCTACTAATCATCATTGGTCCATTAACTATATGAATATATGTATGTTGCTAATGACAATTGTGCATTGAATAAATTGATCTAATCTGACACTTTGTCACTGAATAGGACTTGGCACTATGTATTACACAAGCTTCAAGAACAGTGGTTATGCTTATAATTTTTCTGATTCCTTTTCAATTGTTTTTCTGCTAAAATTATTTGTTGTAATTTACATATCCAGATTGCATTACTACATTATGAAACTAACTTTGGGAAAATAATATTTTTCTGGAATGTGATAGCCAAAATCACTTATATAGCTGACTATATAGCAGTAGCACATAGACTTATATACCACTTCACAGTGCTTTACAGCCCTCTCTTAGCAATTTCCAGAGTCAGCATATTGCATCCAACAATCTGGGTCCTCATTTTACTGACCTCAGAAGGATGGAAGGATGGGTCAACCTTGCGCCAGTGAGATTCGAACTGCCAAACTGCCGGTAGCCGGCAGTATATAATACATGACTAGAGCTGTATTTGCACAACTTTTAAAAAATAATCAGCCACGTTTTAGTTTGTCATGTTGCTTCTCGTGTCTCAATTAAATTTCAGTGCAAATATCTATAGGAACTACACTTGCAGACTTTTTTTCTGTTAATCACCAATTGAAGGAGAGGTTTACCATTGCCTTCTCCCATGCATATTAATTATTGCTTTTGCAATTGTCATGAAAATTATCATCCATTTACAGCATCTTCCTGTATAGAATATTTGTAGCTCAGGGTTATAAAAAATGAAAAGGCTTGTATAAATGGATTAATTTTTCCTTGGCAAGATTTGCTTCAATTTTTTGTCTGACTTGATCATTATTTATTCATTTTTATTTATATCTTCCCAATAGAAAAAAAGATTAATTTCCTGTTCAGCTTACTGTATTCTTACATTGCTTCTCAGCAGTGAGAATTGAAAATGTTTCCTGTCCCATTTTTATAATCTGAAAACCATACATGTAACATACATTAATATTAATAACTAAATATCTAGTACAGATAATCTTCTACTCATGATCATTCAAATTTAAGATGGTGTTGAATGAATGGATTTAGCACCACTGCCCAGAATTCCAACTTTTGTAGCACCCCTGCAGTCATGTAATGAAAATTTAGGTGCTTGGCACCATGCTCACTCTTACAACAAATGTTGCATCTCTCCCTCACACTGTGGGCTAGGAACCTCCACCAGCTAGGTCCACTGACACACGAAAACTTGTCATCAGTTGAAGGCCTTGACTAACAAGGCTCATCAGCGCACAAGCCTCCTTCTTCCCCCTTTATTCCCAAGTGGCCTAGTCTACCCCCCCCCCCCCCCCAAAAAAAAAAAACTCTTGGAAGGTCTCAACTGGCTTGATCCATTTGTCGATGAAAACGTGCCATTTACCAGAAGGCTTCAACCAGCTAGACCTAGTGGTGTGTGGGCCTCCTACTTTACTACCATCAGTCCTGAAAAGCCTGATTTATCTTTCTCTTCTACCACTATCCCAAGTGGCCTCCCCCCCCACCCACCCCCCTGCCTTCACTTTGTCCACTTACCATTCCTTTTCTCTGCAGCTTCTACAGGCATGCCAGTCCAATGTAAGGCTCAGCTAGAAACATAGTGGTTAGAAAAGCAATTGTTCTCAAGGCTGATGAAGGAGATAAGTCAGCCAGAGAAATAATCACATTGTAATAAAAATCCTAATAAAATGTTCGGGTTCTGTCCTGATGACTTAGATATGAAAAATATCATAATGATCATAAAAACTAAATTACAAAATCAAACATAGGGCTGAGATTATTTAATGTTTAGAAAATTGAATGCATGCTATTTGATATTGAAAGTTATTTTTTCCTTATATATTCATTATGTTGCAATTATCAGAATGCTACTTCATTGCTCTCATACATAGTTCTTTATAAGTGTGCCAAAGATTTCACTGTTTTCTTTTTGAGATATCTTGATTTAATTCTTTGCTTTCTGTTTTTAATTATTTAAGGTATTTGATAATTTATCAAAAATTGACATCAGTTGTGCCAATCAACATCAACAAAGTAAAGTACCCTCTATGGAAGAAAGGATGAAGGCAAGTTTATCTGAATTATCAATAAAAATAAAAAATAATAGAGAAGCGTCAGAGGAAGAGACATCAGAATCAAAAACAGCAAATGAAAACCAGAAATCAGGCTTTGCTTCAGAAACCAATAGTAAATGCTTCCAAGAAGAATTTAAAAAGGTAGTTAATACTTTTTGTCTGCATAGTTAGCAAATAACATCTAAGAAACAATCCCTTATCTTATTCCTTGAGGAATTGAAGTGTGGGAACTAGAGGCATGTGAAAGGAAAACTGTTTTCTTTCCCACCTATAAAATCCTTGAACAACCTGTAAGGATCAATCTCTCCCCACTTTCAAAACAAGTAAAACTTTGTATATCAAAAAGGAACCTTTTATTGAAAAGGGGTGAAAGCAAGTCTAAATTCAAAGCAGGCTCTGAGATCCCATAGGACATATAACTAGGAATTATGAAATTAGAAACCCCTTCCAACAGTCCGATGTGGATTCCACCAATCCGCAGGTATGAAGATGTTATTGTACCCGGTGTCTCTGAGAAAGCAGATAAGAAAAGTTTCTCAAGGCTGTCTTCTGGCATTGCAATCTACATGGCCCCTTGCATCCCACCAAGAGGTGAGAATTTTCTGGGCATTTGAGGCACCAGGCAACCCTTATAAATCAGGTAAAAGGTTATGCAAAAGACAAGGCAAGAAATAGGATACATAGAGAGGAAAAAGAACTGAATGTATCAAATCCAATCCCCCCTTTCTTCCACCGAAGAATGGCAGATACACGGTTCTGACATATTGCCTTCCTCAAAAAAATGAGAAATCCACCTGGAAGACATAAAACATGTGTTACATTTACAACTTAGGATGGTTTGTGAGGGTATTTTAGGTGGAATTTCCGTTAACAGTGTGGTCTCTTTTACATGTTTTTTTTTTTTGCTACCCATTCATTTTGGGAGGAGGGTAGGTGTTTCCATGCTACTAAATATTGTGTGGAGCCATGGTGAGTGCATGGGTCAAAGATATCATTAATTTCAAAATGTTGTTCTCCTTCCACCATAATGGGGGTTGGAGGTGTGGGTAAAGTGGGTCTGATCTTTGAAGTGATTTCTGGTTTGAGTAGACTGCAGTGAAATACTAGATAAACCTGTCCAAGTGTCTTAGGAAGTAGGAGTTCTACAGTGACAGGGTTAATGATTCTGATGATGGGAAATGGGCCAATGATTTTTGGTCCCAGTTTCTTAGAAGGTTATAATGATTGTAGGAACTTTGTAGACAAATATACGTTGAACAGTTTGGATTCGCTGCATTTTTTGTCAGCTTGAGCTTTAAAAGCTACTCTAGCCTCTTCTAAGGCTAGTCTGACTGCTGGCCAAGTGGTTTGCAATTATTTATCCACTCCTTAAGGGAAGGAATTTCAGGTTCCTTGGTAGGTAGCTCTGGCATAGGGTTGAATTCTTGTCCTGTGGCTACTTGGAATGGAGTGAAACCAATGTTACTGTGCACAGAGTTATTGTAAGCTACCTCAGCAAAAGGCAAAAGGTCAGTCCAATTGTTCTGTTGGTATTTAATAAAACTTCTTAAATATTGTTCTAACACCCCATTGGCTCTGTCACCACCACCCTCCCCTATTTGTCTGGGGGTGATGCAAAGAGCTCAACCCCTGGGCAGAGTCTAATAAGTTTTTAAAAGCCCACCAAAATTTGGAAGTAAATTGAACACCCCTATCTGTGATAATTCATTGAGGGGCTCCATGTAGGTGATAAATGTGTACTAAAATCATATTTGCTAGTGCCTTGACTGTTGGGATCTTCTGGCAGGGTATAAAATGGTCTTGTTTTGAAAAGAGGTCTGTTACAACCCAAATAACTGTGTTTCTCATGCTTTCAGGCAGTTCCACTATAAAATCCATAGAAATCTCTCTCCAAGGTGCTGAAGGTTCTGCTACAGTTTGTAGATGTCCTGGGTATTTTCCTTGCCATCTTTTTGCAGTGGCATAGGTGGGGCAGCTAGCAACATAGCTCTCAATGTCTTTTTTAAGGGATGGCCACCAGAATTGTCTTTTGATGAGGTGCAGAATTTTTAGAAATCCAAAGTGTCCAGCTATTTTGGAGTCATGGCATCATTTCATGAGGTCCAGTCTTTGGCTGGCAGGGACATAAAGTTTGTTCTCCACCGAGGCTAAACCATCCTTAAATAAGCAATTATTTTTGTGAGCCTGGAACCAGTCATCCTTAAGTTTGGAAGCCGTCATGTTGTCAGCAAGAAGTTCTTTTTTGGCTTACACTCGGGTGATTACTTCGGCAGCTAGCTGGGGTGTTTGGAGCATTGGTTTAACAATTTCAGTCTTTTTGCTTTTATATTGGAATTTTCTGGACAGGGCATCCACTAAGAAGCTCCTCCCTCCTGGGAGATACTTGAAAGTGAAATTAAAACATTTAAAGTATTGTGCCCAATGTACTTGTTTGGGGAAAGTTTCCATGAAGTTTTCAGTGCTTCTAAACTTTTTATGATCAGTCCAGACTTCAAAGGGGATTTTGTTCCCTTCTAAGAAATGTCTCCAGGTGAGGAGTGCCCATCGTATGGCATATTTCTTTTTCTCCCATATGGCCCATCTTTGCTCGGTTTCTGACAATTTCTTGGAAGTGTATGCACCACTCCTACTGCCACATCACTGGCGTCTGCTTGGATAATAAATGGTTGTTCTGGGTCTGGGTGTTTTAGGATTGGTTCAACTGAGAATAGTTGTTTAAGTTTTTTTGAATGCCTCCATCATCTAGGTAAGGGGTTGCCTTCATTTCGGTCCCCCCACTTCTTTTGTTTTTAAGTTTTTAATGGGAAGGATGATATTCGCAAAAGCCGGAATGATTTGACAGTAAAAGTTTGTAAAACCCAAGAAAATTTGTAGTTGTTTGTGGGTTTGGGGCAACTCCCAAACAATGACGGCTTTTACTTTTTGTGGATCCATCTCTATACACTCTTGGGATAGTCTATATCCCAGGTAGTCCATTTTTTCTTGGTGGGACTCACAGTTAGAGTGTTTTGCATAGAGTTTGGCAGCTTGGAGTTTCGTGAGAACTGCTCAGACTAGTTTTATGTGCTCTGTTTTTGTTTTGGTGTAAATTAAAATGTCATCAAAATAAACTAGGATCCCTTTGTAAAATGATCATGGGGCACTTCATTAATTAGTTGCATAAAGATGGCTGGGGCTCCTTGTAATCCAAAAGGGAGTAGTTTAAACTGGTAGCACCCCAACGGGGTGTTAAAAGCAGAGTTCCACTCATCCCCTTTCCTAATTCTGATGCGGTAGTATGCGTCTCATAAATCTAACTTTGAAAATATTTTTCCTTTAGAGAGGTGGGTCAGCATGTCCTTCATAAGGGGGAGTGGGTACATATTTTCCATGCTGATCATGTTTAAATTCCTAAAATCCATGCAAAGGTGTAAGATGCCATCTTTCTTTTCATGGAATAATACTGGGGCAACTATTTACAGTTGGGTGGGTTCAATGAAACCTCTTTTTAGATTTTTGCCAATAAGCACTCTGAGATCTAGTTCTCTGGGGGACATGCAGTACATTTTCGGTTTTGGAAGTTTAGCCCCTGGCAGGATCTCAATAGCACAATTCGTGGTGCGATGAGATGGAAGTTCATCAGATGCCTCTTCGCTCAATACCTCAACCAAATCCAGGTATTCTTTGGGGATGCTAGTGGGCTCAGCAGAGTGGCTGGCCACGGCCATTTCCCTGTTCTCTTTTCCTTCCTTCCCTCCCTCTGGGATGTTTGCGAATGTTATATGTTTCTGGAAATGTACGGTTCCTCTCTTCCAATTTATTTTAGGGTTCCATGTGAGCCTTAGGACTAGCGGCCCTTCCATTCCTGGTGCTACAGTGAACATGAGGATGTCGCTATGGTCCCCCAGATTTATTTGTAATGGTTCTGTGGCAAAAATGGCTGTCACCCGCTACAGTCCTGTCTAACTGGCAGAAAGCAATGGGGTTTTGCATTCTCCTTAGATGTATTCCCAACCTTCCTATCAGGGTTGAGTTGATTAAGCATCAGGTGCCCCCTAAGTCTAGTAATGCTGCTACTTCCTCCTCTTTCCCTCAGCTTGGGATAAACAGTCTTGGGGTAGGGTGAGCCGTTCAATTGGGTCGCTTACCAGTGGGTCATCTTCCGGATCACTTTTGGACTAGCTCAGGTCTTCTCGGAATGCCGGAGTTTCTTCCTCTGGGTTTGGAGGGGAACGGAACTCCATAGCCTCTCGGCTTCTCAGTGTGGTTTCTTTTCCTTAGGGGATAGATTCTGCAGGTTTCTCCCCTGACTGGTGATCAGGCTTCCTGGCAGGGGTTTTTGAACAGTACTCAGCTGTGTGGTGCCCCTTCTTCCCACACTTAAAGCAACCTGATGGCCTCGGTACCATGGCAGTTTGAGGTTTGAATGGCTCCTGCTTCCCCTGGAGTGGGGATCTTCTCCAAGCTCTGCCAGTGTGGTACTGGTTTCAGGATATGTCGATCTCTGCCTCCTCCGCCACCAGGTACCATTCATACAGGCAGATAGGGGCCCTGCAGTGTACAGGTCTTTGTTCAGTCCATCTTTGAACCAGCAAACTAGAATATCTTCTGGCCAGTTGACTCAGCCACCAGGTCACGGAATTCCTGAGTTTATTTGGCTACAGGGCAATGACCCGGCTTTACAACTCTAATGGGGTTGCAGGCTTTGCAATTGGTGAGGGGGTCTTCATAGCATTGGCATAGGGCTACCATGAATCAATCAAGGTTTCACAGCTCTGAAGCATCGGCATTGTGGAGGATCACCATCCACCTGGCAGCTGCCCTTTCTAGGGCTAGGGTGACAACTCGTACTCAATCCCCCTGGGTCAGAAAATTCCGCCCATACTCTTGCATAGAGGTGAGGACTTGAGTGAGGAAAAACCCCAATTACTGGGAGTCTCTGTAGAATTTTACCCCCAAGGGGGGTTCTTCCTCTTCAGCTGTGGGTCCCTGGGTTAGCCAGGTGCAGTCACCTGCTCTGGAACAGCAAAAGGTCAGATATCTGGCATGGCTGCTGGTCCACCGGCTTGGTCAGCTGCTTGATCAGTCACAGCTGGATCAGGGGTGACGGCTCAGGCTCCTTCAGCTGCTGGTTCGCTCATTCTCCTTCATTGGTAACCCAG